CCTACGCTGGCAGAGTTTTTTTTTTAATATGATTTTATTGAGGGTGGAAAGAAACCAGAGTGAAATTAATGCAAATTAAAATAAAGATGGAAAGAAGAAAATAAAAGAGAAAGCTGAGTGTGAAAAGAACGTCAAATAAAAATAGAAAAGAACAAAAAAGAGACGATGAAGTGGCTTCTGCACGTCTGTACAGGAGTTCTAAGTACAATGGTAGATTTACTTTTTTCTCTCTAGAGTTACGATGGAATTATAAATCGTAAGTTCATTTTTTTTCTGTTTTACATAAAAAATATTTGCCTTCGTACATAAAAAGTTCTTAAGGGATTTTCAGTCAGCAATAAGCATAGATGTTGCTTTTTCTCTAATCAGACAGGTCTATCAGCACTAGAGTTTGGTCTCCAACCTTGGCACTTGTGGCTGGCTGAGGAATTCTGGGAGTTGAAGTCCGCAAGTCGTAAAGTTGCCAAGGTTGGAGACTCTGCTCTCCATCCGTCCATCTTTGGTTATCATACTGATGTATTATTCTCACTGTCTTCCTTTGCCATTATTTATTTCATTGCTCTATTATTTTACTTTGGTTCAGTCTACACTCCTTTAATTTTTTTCCTTTTTATTATTGTAATAGCCCCATGGCAGCAAATAAATTCAACAAATAAATAATGTGGGGAGTGACAGGTCTTCTCCAACACACACACATACACGTACACACACACATACACAGAAGAAGAAGAGGCCAGACCAAGAAGACAGAGCAGCTGGGAGCTTCTGCACAGCCAACTTCACTAAAAACAGACTGAAATCATACCTGTCTCAACTTCCGTCTTAGTAATAACACCAAACCTTTGGGAGACACTTTGGGCAGGCTTATAAATAGCAATCTGCCAGAGTTCAATTGAGTAAGAGATTTCTTGTGGAGGTTTAGCAGAATTTGGGTTTTCTTTCCCTCTGGCCCCAAAAGACTAAGATTAGGTATGCATAGGCTGCTAGATATGAATTTGCAGGCTGCTTTTATTGGCAAGAGGGAGGGTGCAGATTGTTGAGGTGGTCGCAATACCACCAGCCTTGTCGCTCCTTAAGCAGCTAAAAAGGAAAACAAATATCTGAGCAAGTAAATAGGCAAAGCCCTTTTCGTCCAGGCCTGGGCTTTAAAAGTGATGAAGCCAAGCCCCGGAGGCAATCAGCGAGGCTGTGATCTTGACTTTTTGACTACATCTTAAAATCAGTCTGGCCAGGAGAGTCTCATCCAAGCTTCCAGAGAAGGACGGAATTTAGCAAAGCAGCCTCCAGGGAGCTCACAACCAGATTCATGGAGGCTAACCTGGCCAAAGGCCATGTACATTTGCTTGCTGTTTAATTGCAAAGAGAAGCCTTTTGTCACTGCCTTATTCTTTAAGAGCCTACAGACAAGACCCTGTGCCAGAGCGCTAGACAAGCATTATCAAGGAGTTTTGATCACTTGTGCTGGTGACCTTCACAGCCCTCTTTCATTTCCCCTTGGAGAAAAATAAGTCCTCTCCTGAAGAAGGCATCTAGAAGGTTGCAACACAGGGAGTGCCAAGCAGGCAAACCTCCAGCTGTTCAGAGAAATGGAGGCTGATGGGATGTATTAGTTGCATGATTAACCTAATTATCTGGACACAGAAGACATGGATTTTTAATCAGTACTACAGAGTCACCATCACAGTGTCAAGGGAAAAAGGCATCACATCAGTAACCAATGATTTTGCAAACCATACAGGATTTACCGTTGGAGGTTAGTTTGAAGAACATTAGCCTCAAAATGCATCAATCAATATTGAAGCCGGTGCAAAGTCAAAATTGTGGTAGCAATGCAGCTCCTGTGTAGGTGGGAGTAAATGAAACACAAACTAGGCATGAGAAGCAGCTGGAACAAAATTCAAAATTCCAGCTCTTCGGCATGGTAGCTAAAATTGAAGTCAAGAAGGCTGAAGAATTGCTACCTGGATTTATTTGTACAAACATTCAAAATGTTTTCTAAAATTGATTTGAAAATGCAATCAACTGAATGAGAACTGTTAAAAATGTAAACATCCAGATTAGTCTGTTGGTGTAGATTTACGACTTGGGTTAAGATGGAAGTCTACTGAATTGGACAAAAAAGATTTCGCATCTGTGCAGATGACATTTCTATCAACTGGTTTCCAGTAGTTTAATGTGATAGCTCGCTTTAGTGCACTGAATCTTCAGAGCTAAATTGAATATCACTGTTATGGAATACTCTCTATATTATACAATACATGCATACACATGAATGCAGTACATACACAAATATGCAAACAAGATGTCTACCCCCTCTAAATAAAAAAGAAAGCCAACCAAAAACAAAATACAGAAATCCCTACCAAGGAGTACAAACAATTCAGTGGCAGAGCAATTTCACATCAACTTGGGGCAGTCAATGCAATTCTTGTAAGATACAAAGCAGAACCTTTCTACTTGAACTGAACAGAGCAGGATATAAGTTTGAGGGGAAATGAATGAGGTACAGTATCTCACATTTGCTGATATAATCCAATGTAATTGAAAAGTTAATCAATTAAGCAACTATTGGATAGATAAAAGGAAGCATAATTGGTTGGCAAAAAGAACATTATTTCTTCCACCTCCTGCCAAAACTTAGTTATAAATTACTTTGCTGGGAGATATTGTTTAATATGAGCATAGTTTCTCCCTGCAGTCCAACCAATGGAGATTCGCGGCAGCGTTTCCAGATCTGCTGCTGGGGGCATCCCCAAAGTCAGTTGCAGGAACAGACTGCCACAGGCCTCGGCTAAAAAGCCTATCCCATTCTCCGCCTGAAATCATTTCTTCTGTTAATTTCCTCCTAATGAGTTTGCTGGGGAAATCCCTCGGGTTTTTTCCTCAGAAACGAGTATACTTCCTGTAAGCCAATGTGATGTTCCACAGTATTAATCTTTTTCATTCTCTCGCCAGAAAAAAAAACTCCCTGAAACTCATAATGCTTTCCATAGGATCTAGGAGAGTCGATCTTACTTAATTCTACATTCTTTTACACCAGCTCAATGCAGCCTTTCTCAACCACAGCAATTGTAAGATACCTGGACTTCAACTCCCAGAATTCCATAGTAGGGCCACAAATGAGAATTATGAGAGTTGGCGTTCAACTGTCTGGAAGGAGACCAAATCAGAGAGCGTGGCAGAGTTGTTTATCCACCCCCAAGTTACAGAGTAATGGGAAAGATACTTTTGTGTTATCTTTCTGGTTTTAATAACAGCAGAAGTGAGGATGTACTGCCTTCAAAAGCTGTTCTATTCTGGTTTTGTCCAGTGATAAAGAATACAGGGAACTACAGTGTAGAAATCTTGAGAATGGGATTGGTTTCTGACCTCAGTACCAAAGGGAAAAGGAAGGCAACCATGGTGGTAGGAGAGCGATGCTTTTATATAAACCAGACCTCGGCATTTTACGGCCCTGAGCCACATCTGGCCCTTTGGCCATCTCTGTCTAGCCAACATGGATTGCTGTTATTTTAAAAGCAATTACTTTTTTTTCTCACTTTACATACGTGCGTGGGTGCCTACGTACCTTCACAGCCTTATTGGTCTGGCATTCCCCAACTGTCCCAGTTTCGGATGTGGCCATCTGAGAAAAGTAACTACCCACCCTTGATCTAAATGAACAACTAAAGCAAAGTTAAACAAAGAAAATAAGTCCTGGGAGACTCCAGGCCTGATCTAATTAATCAAACTATCCTTTTGTTGTTGTTGTTAATTGCGAAGTCGTGTCTGACCCATCGCGACCCCATGGACAACGTTCCTCCAGGTCTTCCTGTCCTCTACCATCTTCTGGAGTCCATTTAAGTTCACACCTACTGCCTCAGTGACTCCATCCAGCCATCTCCTTCTCTGTCGTCCTCTTCTTCTATTGCCCTCAATCTTTCCCAGCATTAGGCCCTTCTCCAGTGAGTCCTTCCTTCTCATTAGGTGGCCAAAGTATTTGAGTTTCAATTTTAGGATCTGGCCATCTAAAGAGCAGTCGGGGTTGATCTCTTCTAGGACTGACCGGTTTGAACGCCTTGCAGTCCAAGGGACTCGCTGGAGTCTTCTCCAGCACCATAGTTCAAAGGCCTCAATTCTTTGGCGCTCAGCCTTATGGCAAACTATCCTAGGTATTCACAAAGTTTTTGCCCATCCTCTATTCCTAACCCTTTGTTGCTCTTTCCCCAGCTAAATTTATCTCAGAAGACAACATTTTAGAGGGAATTTACTCCAACTGCCTATGTTCACATAGCATACCTATTCAGACGCATACAACACATCATGTACCACCAATGCCACATTGTAGCCTGGCCTGTAGTTCAAATCTAGCCAGAATGTCGCTTCAAGAGCCCAATAGTCTCTGAAAAGTGGCCCAAGACCTCTGGTTTCATGTGCCAGAGAAACAAGGCAAAATCGCTACCCAGCTGTTTATGAAGGGCAAAGTTGTGTCAGACTTAGTCCAAATGCATCCAGAGTTCAGGATGCTTTCTAAGTAAGCATTTCCTGACTTAGAAAGAGAGGTTCAGTGAAGAAACTGGTTCCCAGTACATGGTTTTTATACTAAAATCTGTGAATCCCAGAAGGACCTCTTAGAGCACATGATTTTGGCTTAACAAACACTAACTGGTTACTGTATTTATTCATTTTCTGGGCATGCACAACGTCCTGAACACCAAAGCGGTTGGGTTAACCCAATTTGCTATACACACACAGAAAGAAGCCTGACCCAGATGAACAGTACCAGCCTGGCATGTGTGAAGGAAGCTGCTAAGTTCTTTTAACCCCAATAACCCCAACATTACAACTTGTCTACCATTTTTACCCTGCTTTCTGAGATTTCAAGGGCTATTTGTTCCGCACCTGGCTGGCCTTTGGCTCCTGATCCGAATCCAGCACCCTAACTGGACTTTAGCCTCGGCCTCAGAAGCCGCCTCCCCGGAGCCCAGGCACCACCCCGACCCCCGAGGCCGGCCACTCACCGCTGTGTGAACTGAACCACCGGGGTCCGAGGTGCAGAGGTAGAGCATCGGCCAGCGAGGCCCTCGAGCCCAGGTACAGCATCCCGTCTCTGTGGTGACCGCCTCCCGTCTCCTGGTAACCGTTGCCATGGGCGTAAGGGGTGGAGTCCGCGCCCGACCCGCCGCCTGGACCCAGCTCCGAGTCGCCCGGCGAAGCCGCCGCTGCCGCCGCCGAAACCGCCGTGGTGCTGGCCGCAGAGGCCGCCGCGTAGAGGCCGAAGGGGACGCTGCCGGCGCCGGCCGGCTCCACGCCGCCCACGCCCACGCCGGCCACGGAGCTGACGGATCGGCTGCGCAGCCCCATCGCCGAGCTGCCGCCTCCGCCGGTGCCCGCGCCGCGGTAGTGCCCGAAGTGGGGGGCTCCCCCGGGCGGCGGCACCGCGCTGTCGTCGCTGGCCACGCCGGCCAAGGGCCCGCCGCGCGAGCGCCCCGCGGCCGTGGTGCCGGCCGTGCTCTGCTTGCCGCCCATGCCGCGAGGGAGCGAGCCGGGGCCACTAGGCGCTCAGGCCACCCCCGGCGCCGCCGGGCATCGCGGCGCGGCCAGCGGCGGCGGCCCCGCTCCGCCTCTCCGCCTCCCCCGGCCCTCCGAGCAGCAGCAGCAGCCGCCGCCGCCGCCGCCGCCGCCGCGCCCCAACGGGCGGCCCGCCGCGCCTCCCGGGCTCATCCACGGCGGGGGCAGCCGGGGTCCCGCCCTACGGAAGGCAGCGGGGGAGGCGGAGGCGGCGCGCGGCTCCCCTGGCTCCGATCCGCATGCGAGCAGCCGCCGCCGCGCGCCCCGGCCAGACGGGAGCGGCCTCCGGCCAAGCAGCCCCGCCGCGGCTCGCTCCGTCCAGGCGCGCCCCGCCCGTCCGCCCCTCCGTCCGCCACCGGGGCCGCGAGGGCTCTGCGGGCGCCTGGCAGCCGCGGCTTGTGCTGGCGCGTCCCCGGTCGGGCTTCCCGAGGGCTCCCGGAGCCGAGACAATAGAGCCGCGCAGAGCGCCTGCGCCGCGGCTTCCCCGTCTCCTCCCCGCCCTCCCCGCCCCTCCGCCGCCGCCGCCGCCGCGGGATGGAGCGAGGCTGAGCGGGCGGCGCGGGCGTCTGTCTCCTGCCCCGGCCGGGAGCGAGGCGCCTCTGCCCGCAGACCGCGCTGGCCGGAGAAGCCCGCCGGCTTGCTCGCCGCTCTCCCCGGCCAACGGGCGGCGGAAGGTGATGGGGAGGGGGCGGCGGTGGGACGGAGGCGGAATTGGGCCTTAATCGACGGTCTCCGGGCTTTTCCGTTAAGGTCCGGAGCAGCCGAGGCCCTTTTGGAACTTGGTGCCGGCAGCAGGGCCCCAAATCGCTCTTGTTGGCTCTTGTTCTATTTTTGATCATGACTAACCTTAAAATCTCATCTTAGGAAATTTTGTCCCTTTTAGATGCATGAACTTTATTATTACTACAGCATGAGTTCATACGTTTCCAGAGACAACTGTCAATGATCAGTTGATACCCCTAACTTATGGGGGAAGGGGGAATGTGAGGTAGTCTAAAGCAGGGCTCCTTCGGAACCAGATCAAGGAACTGGCAGATGAGTGTATGTGCACATCCCCACTTGTGCAAGCAACGGGCAAGTACATGGGCATGCGTGCCCGCCACTCATGCAAATGGAGCTGCATGCACGCGCATGCTGCTCACACAGAACCATACCCTCCCTCCCCGCAAAGCCGGAAAGATTGTGGAAGTCTGGTCTAAAGAAGCAGATATAATCAATAAGTGCACAAGACTCGCTGGCAGGAAAAAAAAGAACAAGAGCCTACAAATCTTAAGTCACTTGATCGAATGTGTCTATTACGTGTTTGTTTTCTTGCTAGTGTTCAACATGAAAAAAATATAATAAACCAGTACTTTATTCTTTTATACACTAAAATTGAGATATGTTGCCTGTTGATGAATAACACTTAAAGGGGTGTCTTCTTTTGTGCGAGAGTGTTTGAAGAGGAAATATTTGTGCATAACAAATCCTGATTTGTCTCCAGAAAGTTTGCATTCTGTTTTGTGTTTTGCATCTTCTGGTCAGGTGGTCATCACTCTCCACTTTTGAAATAATGAAATCTCATTCTAAAGTAGGTTCTATTCTTTTCTTGGTTTTTCACTAGGCTAGTATAAGGAGCAAAGGTCTCATACTGCAGTTAATTCACCCAAAGTAATTTTTTGTATCTTAAAAAAAACCCACTGTCAAGATAAATCATACTTCCATATGTTGAGGGTTTGCTGCCAAGTCAGACTTTGGCAATACAATCTGGGGAGTTCTGGAAATGTAAAAGAAAGACAAAAATGGCCCCCAAAAAGATAGAACAGAACCAGTTTTCAACCAATTCTTTTATACTGGACCACACAACTCCAGATAAGGGGTTCTGCTAACGTTCTTCTGAGCATTGTCAGCAGAGAACACGCTTCTGTCCATTTTATTTGTGCTCTTTCAGACAGTTCCAGATATAAGAACTTTTGAAACATGATGATACAAACCCCAGGAATTCCTTGGACTGGGACACTTGCTGGTAGGCAGGCAGTAAGGTAAGTTTTGTCCCAGCTTGTAAGAACCTGATTTTATCTAGGAATAGGTCCAAGGACATTTGAAATGAAGCTCCTGGTGTCGTGTTATTTACACCCTTAATCTTTTGAGCAATTAACTTGTGTGATGTGATTGAACTGGCTGTTGTGAATGTTCAGCCAATGTTATATTGTGGTCTAATCAGGAATGGAAAGATTCATATCTCACATAGGTAAAGATTGACTAAAATCCCCATTCTCCTAAACCTGAATAGAGGGTTGATAGATCCCAGCCTATTGTGTATTTGCATGAGTCAGAGATATGCATCATCATTAGGAAATATGTCCAGACGAATCGTGCAAAAACACAGGAGTGGCGTGGATAAGTTCCTCCCAGAGATGGAAATAGCATAATTGCTATAGCTTAATTCAGATCCACTTCTGTTAAGTCAAAGGAGATCCAGGTGACTCTCTGACTCCCATGTCTACTTTGGAGGGCTTGACTGACTGATTTGGAATCTATACAGAATTGCTGCCCATCTGATATACAGCAACTGATTAAAAAAAGAAAAACACATAGTAAAACCTATATCACAAAATGTAAAACAAAATTAAAATAATTATAATGAAATAGCCAAGACACCATAACAGACTCATAGCACGCTTACACCCGTACTGGGTTTAACATCCTGGGCCAGTGCCTGAGATAACATCAACACCTTCACAGCTCTTCCAGGGAGTCAGAGCCCTTGGACGGAGGGGAAAGGCTGTTCCACAGGGCAGGTGCCATCAGAGAGAAGGCATCAATGTTAAGATATAGCTGAGCAGCACTGAAAAAAGTGACATGACAATTTTGCACACAACCATTGCAGCATCCCCATGGTCATGTGATCAAAATTCAGATTCTTGGCAATTAGTGTCCCAGCGTCATGATCACCTTTTGCGACCTGACAAGCAAAGTCAGTGGGGAAGCAGTGATTCACTTAACAACTGTGGCAAGAAAGGTTGTTAAGATGGAACAAAATTCACGTAACAACTGTTTCACTTAGCAACTGAAATATTGAGCTCAATTGTGGTTTCAATTTACAAGAGGGGAATTTTTTGTGCATGTGTGCCTTAACTTGTGCAAATCCAATGTCAAAAGCATGCAAAGAAAAAAAAAAGAAGAGAGACAGGCCAACTTAAGCCTGGATCAAAACAAACCGACGTTGGACCACCACTCCCACGCTTCCTAGCCAGGCGAGGGGAGGTTCTGGGAGTTGAAGTCCAACCCTGATGGAAGAAACGAGGTCGGATTTCTTGGCTCGGGCTCCTTTAAGCATTGCGAAACTACTTCTCCCGGCAGGCCCTGCGCTCCGTGCGCGACGACTTCCTGGCCGCCGTCGCCTCCAGGGCAGCCAAGATGGCCGCGCGCTGGAGCAGCGAGAATGTGGTGGTGGAATTCCGGGACTCGCAGGTAGCCGGGGTCGTTTTCGGGGCCGCGCGGGGGCCGTTCCCCGGGGGGCCTGCCTGCAGCGTTCCCTCTCGTCCCTCCCCGTCCCTCGGCGATCGGGGTGGGACGCATCCCTGCCGCGCCTCCCCCTTGGGAGATGTGAGGACCGCGGAGGGGATGGGAAGGGCGCCTTCGTATCGTCGCGCGAAGGGCCGCTGCTCGGCGCCCACTTGCCCGGGGCTTGCCTCAGCACCCTTCGGGCGCGCTGGGCTGCAGCTCCCATCGTCCCCAGCAGTAGGAGGGGAGGAGCAACTGGTGTGACTGTTTTTTCTTGACTAAGGCGATAATAACCACAACAGTAACAACTTTGCAAAAACCCACTTTACTTGGAGCTGCCTGTATACTGAGACGTTACCTTAACTGTTCGGGCTTTACGGCTCTTAGGTCCTTGGTTAGGACTTGAAGGTTTTTACCAAGCCCAGACTGTGAATGGAATTAAAGGTTAAATCTTTGCTGATGCCGATAGCTTTCCATTCCAGCGGAATCTGAGAGGCTTACAAAATGTGCTAATTAAAACAACGTTAACAAATTAGATAGAATGCAGGTGTAAAACTAGGGTTACATGTGTAAAACAAAGTCTTGTTTTAAAGATATTTTGATCTTTATATTCCTTCTCCCGCATTGTAGATTGTTCCTATCCAATTATGCTCAAATTAAAGTTTCTTACAAACCTGGGCTTTGTCTACAAAACAAATTTGCGATATGAGGTATTCATAAGTCTTTAATAGCTAGTGTTTGTCACTGCTGATTAAGGTTAATAGTTAAAATAATCCATAGTAATGCATACAGACATCTAGATGTATAATATTTTCATAAATACACACCTATAAATCAGACATCAGGGAAGATATTTATTGGCTGGATTTGTACATTGCACCTTGGCTCTTTACTTTTCACGTGAACCAACTTTTCTAGCTAATAAAATCAGATGTGTGGTTTAGTGTAATGAATAAACCCAGCCAATTCTGATCTAGGGAACAAATTGTCATATAGTCTGATATGTGAACATGCATAGGCTGAAGTCACAGTTATGCTAAGTTGTATGTTCTATTATTTACAAGCTTTCACAGGGAACAAATCAAAATGTGGTTTAGCAGAGTATATGAATTAGGTTTCTATGTTGTTCCTTTGAGAAATATACTGAGACATTAGGTATAAACTCTCTCTTTAAGGGTCTTTGAATGTTGGGTGCTAGTTGCATGAAATGGTAATTGCCATCACTCCTGCCTCTGTTTCCTTCAAAAGATCATGATGGCAAGTTGAAAAGTAAATGTTCTAAAAAAAAAAAATTGCTCATACCGCCAGAAATCCATAAGGAAGGATAACACGACCATTATTCTGGGCAGACGGAATCTGTACATTGTTATAGCTGAATGTATTCAGTTTGATAAATCCTTTATTTTCCAGTTTTCTTGCTGACAACATAGACACACGATACCCAGGAAAGTTACAAGACTTAGTAGTTGTAATGTGTATGCAAATTAGACTAAGCCTGGCTAGTTTTAAATGCAGTCTGCCTGCTCATTTGTGGTTTATGCATATCACAAAAATGGGTATGTTTAATAACCATAACTTAACCGGATGTAAATCTAGCTACTATTTCATCAGTTCCATGCCCTTGAGAGAAATACCAGTTCTGATCTAATGCTTAGCAATCAACTGTTTTGTTGCTGAGCATAAAATTCTTTTGCGCCGCCTGAGGGATTTAAGAGTGGGAACACTGTTGAAGGGGTTTGTCTCCCCCTTTAGTGGTTGCTGATTGGTGTGTGTGTGAGAGATTGTGCACCTGGTTTTGTGGAGGTACAGGCACGACTATTTTTGTAGAGGTAGGCCTCAACTTACAACCATTCATTTAATGACATCCCAGAAAAAAGTGCCTTATGACCTGTTCTCACATCCGCATGGTTATATGAGCAAAATTTGAGCACTTGGCAACTGGCATGTATTTATGACAGTTGCACTGTCCCTGGGTCATGTGATCACCATTTGTAATCTTTTCAGCCAAGCAAAGTCAATGGGGGGGAGCCAGATTCACTTAGTGACCGCATGATTCCACGAGTCATAAAAGAGCCAAGGTTGCCTACCCCTGGTTTAGCTTCATATCCTCCCATCAAATAGGCTGATTTAATAGCGTGTTGCCTCTGATGATCAAATGTATTGTTTACAGTCTGAAGGAAGGCAACGTCAACCCTTTTTTGTATCATTGTCAATAACACTACACATCCATATAGTCAGTCGAGTGCTATTCTGGGGCATTTTTGCTACTTTTCATGAATTATTTATAAGCTGAGGGAATTCATTTCTCTCTTATTTTCACAGGCAACAGCAATGTCAGTAGACTGTCTTGGGCAGCATGCAGTACTTTCTGGGTGAGTGCTAAAACCTTGTGGTTCCTGTTGGCAACACCTGGGCTGATATGTGCTGTTAGGTACAGAGGGAAGAAGGAAATCTTGTCCAGGGTGGCTTTTCCCATTTCCCAGAACGTTGTCTTCTTAGTGAGGTGGAAGAAAAGGAGATTGTAACTCAAGCAGAACTTGATGAAGAGAGATCCAAAATCAGACTCCATGACCCTAATACAGGGGTCCCCAATCCTAGAGCCCCAGGGGGCCCTATGAGAAATTGTTGCTTCAGGATACCATGGTTGTTGCTTTCATTGCAAGGTAGCCAGTGTCTTGCCTGCTAATGTTACCTTGATTAATTTGAGGCCTTCTGATTTCTGTGGGTTTACTTCAACTATGAGTAAATCAGGATCAAACTCAACGACTCTTCTGATCCCCTCTCCTGATGTATACACTGTTCATTCCAGGCTTTTACAAATAAAGTATTTCCAGAAAAACAAGTCTTGTGGAACCTGAAAAGTCAAATACATATATTATGCCATAAGACATAAGCTGTTAATGTGTCACTATTCATCAGAAGCCCAGTCTAACGTGGCTACTCCCCAGTACTATTTTGATGTCCTTATAAAAACAGAGTTAACCTACATTTTGATATTCCTAAGAGAGTTACACAGCAGCCTACCTTTCTTTCTTTCTTTCGAAAAAATCTCCTCCACTAAATTCAAAAGAACTTCAGAAGAGTGCTACCTACAAAATAGAATCCTTTGGGACTTTGGTGTTCTCTGAACTAGCTTGTTTCCCTGGAGAACCAAGCTAGGTAATTTCACCTGTATGAATCTCCTTGTTTATATATAACAGCTTGCCCTGCTGGCCTTTGTTGAGGCGTGCTTCTTGATTTTTGATTAGGGTCCTGAACCATCCGGAACAGAATTATACCCAAATCAGGACAAGCTCCTGCATATAAACAGCCAGCAAACCTGATGACATTAGCTGGTAACGAAATATCTGCAGGAAAACAACCAAGAGAACACCAAGAACCCAACCTATGTCCCTAAGCTACCTATATTCTCCACTGGGGAAACAGGGCAGCAGCACGGCTTACGGCCCTAATCCCAGCCTCAATTACAATCATACCTTGAGGACTACCTGTAGCTGAGGATCAGAGTTGCCCTTCCGGTCACAGTAGTGAATTACTCTGGATCTACTGTGGTAAGATTCCTTCCTGTCTTTGTGGGCCTTTTTCCAGGCGCCGCTTTCTCTACATTGTTAACCTGGATGCACCTGCCGACGGACACCGCAAGATTTCCCGTCAGAGCAAGTGGGACATTGGGGCCGTGCAGTGGAATCCCCACGAGAGCCACGCCTATTACTTTGCGGCATCGGTAAGTTCTGGGGGTGGGGTGGGGGGTGTTCCTTCCCAGGGGGACTCCAGTAGTTAATGGGATGGTGCTTCCCAAGTGTTCCAGCTTCCTCACCCCTTAGGCCCCAAGAACAATGTAAAACATCTTCTGAAACGCACAAAATCACGTTCTCTTGTTCTGCATTTATTCTGTAGAAGCTGCCATATGGATATCTTGTCCACGTTTGGATGTTTACTTATTTTTGTTTGCATCCCACCTTTATTGTTTTTACAAATAACTCATGCCGGCAAACATATCCCACACATTTTCCTCATATTTGCCCCCACAACGACAACCCTGTGAGGTGAGTTGGATTGGGCGACTGGCTCAAAGTCACCCATCTGGTTTTCATACTTAAGGTGGGATTGGAACTCACATTTTCCCAGTTTCTTGCCTGGTGCCTTAACCACTAGATGAAACTGGCTCATATAAGCAGAAGGAGCCAGGTAGCACCTATTCTGACCCATATATTTTATGAAAAAGTATAAGCTTTGGAAGCTCATAAAAGCTTATACCTTTTAACAAAAGTTTTGGTCAGAAAAAGTGTCCCAGGCTGAGATTCACTTGCCCACTCCTACAATATTTACGCTTCTTGGATATGTGAGCCTTAAGGTACTTCCTTTCTTAATATATCTTAATAGATACTATTTTTAATTTTAATTTAAATCAAATTATTGCTTTAGTGATTATTATGATTTAATTGAAATAATTTTTTAGTTGAATCAAAATTAAACTTATCTTACTAGAACCACTTTGGCGTAGTGGTGTAGGAGCTGGGCTAGAAGCCAAGGGACGGTGAGTTCTAGGTCTTTCTTAGACGTGAAAGCCTGCTGTGTGACTCTGGGGCAGTCCCTCTCTCTCAACCCAACCCACCTCACAGGGTTGTTGTTGAGAAAATGGGCAGGAGTATTAGCTATATTCTATATAAAAAGATGGGATAAAAATCTAATAATACCTGCTTGTGGGCAACAGTTGCTTCTTGCTTTGGTGTACTTCATATTTCTATACTTTATATATCGCAGCTAACACATTTCAGAATAATTTGTGTCCTAAGAAACAAAGCAATAATAAACTTTTGAGCCATTACAAATTTGAAAAAGATTATATGAATTAGAGTTCAGCTGTAAAACAACAAAATCGTGCTTTGTTTGGCTATTTCTGAACATTTAACATGGGAGATGGAAAGATGTCTCCCCTTAAGAGAACTCTTTTGAGACCCTCAGTAAGTGAGAGGATGGGAAAACTTTCTAGCCCAAATATCGGGGAACATATTTCTCTTGGGGATAGGATTTTGAGCAGGACCCTCATTTTAAAAGCTAAAGGAACGCTCCCATTCTCGGACATCGTGTCTCAACCTTAAGAGCTTGCAGATGTGTGACTTCAACTCCCAGAATTTATTTATTTATTTATGAGACTTATATACCGCTTTAAGTGCAAGCACTCTCTAAGCGGTGTACACCAATAAGCAATGTATATATATATATATATTTCCATTGCCCCCAACAATCTGGGTCCTCATTTTACCTACCCCGGAAGGATGGAAGGCTGAGTCAACCTTGAGCCGGTGAGACTTGAACCGCTGACCTGCTGAACACAGTCAGCTAAAGTGGCACATCTTCAAGCTGCCAAATGCCATTTTGGAAAACGAGTCTGTGGTTTTGTTTGCGGCTCCTGATGTTTTCTGTCTAATTTCAGAGCAACCAACGTGTTGACCTGTATAAGTGGAAGGACGGCAACGGGGAAATTGGCACTTCCTTGCAAGGACACACCCGTGTCATCAGGTATGGCTGCCCCAGGGAGCCCAGTGCTTTTTGAGCCAGTAATGCAGCGGCAATGCTCCTTTCTCTCAGCCCTCCTGCTGCTCCTTGTTTGCAGCACATCCCTAGCAGAGACAGGAATATATCGAAAGAGTTTAGCTTAGTAGTCTCTGAGCTACAAGTCTGTGTTGTCTTCGGTGGAGGCCAGGCCAGAATTTCTCAACCTTGGCTACTTGAAGATCTGTGGACTTCAGCTCCCTAGCCACTCTGCTACACATCTCAGAGAACTACCAAAATACCTTCTGCTTACCACTGCTCAAGAGCACTGGATTTGCAGATGCTGGACTCCGTAGTAGGGCCAGCTGTTTTGCAGTGTTTTTACTGGAACAAAACTCCTCTTCCGAGAGACTCTGAAAAACGTTGCTGGTTCCTCCCAGAAATCTGCCTTGTCGAAACCATGCTCCAGAATAGGAAGCATAGAATGCATAGTTGTTGTTGGTTTCCATTTTCTTGCAAAATGCTTTTATGGCTTTTCCTGACAGCGCAGAAGGTGGTAGGGAGTGACTGCACAAAGCCTTGTCATTATCAGCTGCCCCCGTTGAGCTCTCCTGTTGATCTGTTTCAGGGCTGAACATAGAACGTAGAATAACAGAAGGAACCTCCTACCCTTCTATCTTCTGTCAAGTTCACTTTACCTTCTATGGCCCCTTTATGGCCAGTGGACTCCAGCTCCCAGAATCCCTGCACCAGTCATGCTCAGGAATTGCTGTGATTGTGCTGTCTCAGGAATTGTGGGAGCTGAAATCCGTAGGTTGTAAAGAGGAGCATAGTTGCCCACCCCTGATAGATTTATTTTCTCTTTTTTTTCCTCTGCTTTTTCTAGTGATTTGGACTGGGCGGTGTTTGAGTCAGATCTACTGGTTACCAGTTCAGTTGACACGTACATCTACATCTGGGACATCAAGTAAGAGTTTTGGTGGCCTGTAAGAAGACAGACATAGTCACTAAGTATTTTGGGGGAGAGTGGATGTTCCTGTAGGGCAGAGGTCTTCAAACTTGGCCCTTTTATGACTTGTGGACTTCAACTCCCAGAATTCCTCAGTCACTTTTTTCAGTGTAACTTTGGATGGTTGCTCAGTAAATGCTTATAAGCCGAGGACCACCTGTGTACCTTTCTAGCATGATGACCCTTAAGCAGCTGAAGGCAGGCTTCTAGCATGTACTGGAATAATGTGATTGTTGGAACCAGTTGCTTCCAGGCCCTTTGACCCAAAGTTTGTCATATGTCCTGTATGGAACCCAAAAAGCAAGTTGCCTGCTCAATCTATGTAATATGTGCCAGGCTGGCTGCGTTTTCCACACTCAAGGCAAATGGTTTTGCTGTGACTCTGGTGCAAATCAGTAGGAAGATGTCTCGTCTGTTAAGGAGTGGTGCCTGCTGCATCTGTGCGTGAATCATAGCTTCAGGCATGCCTCTTTTCAAGCAGGGTCTGCCTTGATGGGTGACTCACGCAGAAATAGCAAGGGTGATCTCTGTAGGTGGATTTATTTTAATCCAATGCATATGCTATGAAAGTAACCCCCCCCCCTTGGGTTTCAAAGCAACGTATGGACAGAATTCTAATTAGTGGGTGGTGGGAGTTTAGGAGAGCGTTGTTAAGCTGTATGTTCTTATGGCAGCATTGTTGTGTTTCAGAGACACCCGAAAACCTACTGTCTCTCTCTCTGCTGTTGGTAAGTACTAGCCTGGTTGGAAATCTTCATGACTTGCCTTTCATGGGGCTTCTGCACACATCGTGGACTTGACCCCCACAGAGCCTCATTTGTGTCTTCTCCCAGGCACTATGAAACCCATGTCAAATCTTTTGTTCTGAATATTTCCATTGTCATTCTTCCTCCAAGTTGCAACGGTCTCATTTACAACTGTAGGATCATAACAATAGGACACGGTAGTAGGGAAAAGCAGACTGCCCGTGTTTGCAGGTGGTGTCTGAATACATAAGGGTGCTGGATACGCCACCCATGAGTGGTACATAGAGCATGGAATCATAGGGCTAGAAGGGAACTTGGAGGTCTTTAGTCCAGCCCACAGCACAAGGCAGGAGACCTTATACCATCCCAGTCAAATGGTTGTCCAGGCTATTTTGGGAAACCTCCAGTGATGGAACAGTCCAGGAGGCAAACTATTCCATCAAGTGTTCTCACTGTCTGGAAATTTCTCCTTCTACGTTAGATCTCTTTATAACAAGCTTCCACCTATTACTTCCACCTATTTGTCCTGCCCTCTGGTGCTTTGGAGAAGTACTGGGAATACCTTGTTTCTTGTGTAAATTAGCTGGTAGCCCATGGCAGCACCTGGTTTATAAGTCCTCTGGAATGTGGTAGACAAGTAATTCTAGCTAGAACATAAAGTCGTTTCCATACTCCTGGAGGCCAAACGTCCGTCATGGCACACAGGAGGGCAAAACAGTGAGAAGGTTGCTTGCAGTTGGCACCATCCTGTGACAGCTTACAAAAGCCGCCTGAGTTGATTCCCCTGCAGCGCTTCACGTTATAACTCTGGGGTCCATTCCTGTCTTGGAAACGTCTTACGTCTACACTAACCATAGTCCCTCTGGTGCTAGCAGAGCCCAAAACCCTACTGTGATTTAAATGAGCCGGAGTGGTTTAGCTCTGTCATAGTGACCTTGTTTCTTTCCGGAAGGTGTTCCTTGACTCCTAGTCTTCTGCTCCTTCTGCAGCTGGAGCCTCCCAGGTAAAATGGAATAAGAAAAATGCCAACTGCTTGGCAACCAGCCATGATGGGAATGTGCGCATTTGGGACAAAAGGGTGAGTCCTTGTTTCTTTCCCTTGCTTCTGTCTAAGGATTGTGTTTGTGTGTGTGTGCATGGGGGAGGGGGACAGTGGACATTGCAAGCCTTTTGCTCTCTGAAGCCTACTTCACAAGCATTATATTAGATCCACGGTTTACGGTAAATAACAGTGATAAATGATAGCTTGTGGGTTATTAGACAGACCACAGTGACTGGGTTCACACAATACAGTCTCCCCAAATCAATCAAACCATATTAAGATTTAGTGGAAAGAATATGGTGCAGACACGCTCTGGGAGATTCTGTCCCTTAACATACCCTGTGCAGGAAACAACTTGTCCCTTAGTAGGAGAATTTGGTCATCCTACCATTATTGTAAAAATTCATTTGATTCTTGCAGCACAGAAATAACCCAATTTTTCCACATGACTTCCTGGATCTTGCTGTTTGGAAAGCTTGAACCCTGGGCCATGATCTCAACATTATACCTGTAAGGAATGCAAGACTGGTACTTCCTGCTTGGCGCCTCCAAGTTGCCTTGCAATTCCACTTGCATTTCAGCTTCTCCCATCTGTTGAAGTGGGAGTTGTGGTGTTGTGTGAATCCAGGTGGTGGTGCTAATTAGCATTCATGTGTCTCTTGCGACTGAGATCCTCTCTTGAAAGGCCTTTATATACTTTGTAAGTCTTTTTATTTTTAAAGTATTTTATTAATTTTCTATTATTACAATTCATTAGTGCTTAATGAACAGTCTGGGTTAATTTTTTGCTTAGTAATAGAAGTTAAGTTCTTAACTCTCCCATATACTTTTCCCATATACTTGCTCTCCATTAACCCACGGCAGAGGACAGAACATTGTCCTGTGGTTCTGCGCCCTGGAATTTGCTGCAGAAGAGAAGCTAAGATGCTTCCAGAAGACAGCCTGGGACATCTCAGTGGGATTGCTGTGGCCTCTTCTGGAAACTGTCCCACAAAACCTTTCCCTCTGCTTTCAGAAACCAAGCACTGCTGTGGAGTATCTGGCAGCCCACCTCTCTAAAATCCACGGCCTGGATTGGCACCCAGACAATGAAAACATTTTGGCCACCTCCAGTCAAGACAATTCCGTCAGGGTAAGTCGGTGGGACTGGGTGGGCTGGGCTGGCCTCTGGGGTTTGCAGGGACATCCTGGCCTATTTCTGTTCCGCCGGTTAAGCATCTTTCACCTCCGTGGCCTTTTCTCTCTTTTGTCGAAGTTCTGGGACTACCGACAGCCCCGGAAATACCTCAACATTTTGGCCTGTCAGGTTCCGGTCTGGAAAGCCAGATATACGGTAAGGGGAGCCTCCGTGGAGCCCAGGTGAGCAGAAAGGCCGGCTGTGGGTCTCGCTCGCCCACGGGGCGCATGATGGCCCCTCTCTCCAAAGAGAGCAACTAGGTGTTTTGGGGCCAGGAGCTGCTGGAGGGAGGTGGCAGTTACGTGGTGACCTCACTGGAAGGGGAGAGGTGGGGGTCCTGGTGGGCCGGCCCAGATTGGATCCTGCAACATTATCCTGGGACACCTGTATTCACCCACACGCTCTCTTCTGCCCAGCAGCCCTGTGCAACTGTAGACCTCCTTGAAAAGCGAAACGCTGGTGAGCCGCTAACCTTCGTTCTTCCCCGTTTCTAGCCTTTCAGCAATGGGCTGGTGACGGTGATGGTGCCCCAACTTCGAAGAGAGAACAGCCTCCTCCTGTGGGATGTCTGCGACCTCAACACACCAGTTCACACCTTTGTGGGACATGATGACGTTGTGCTAGAATTCCAGTGGAGGAAACAGAAGGAAGGTGTGTGACCGGGGACTGGGTGGGAAGGTTAGGGTGGTGATTCATGGAGCAAATGGAGTAAAACTCACTTAACCGTCTCGCTTAGCAACATAAATTCTGGGCTCAATTGTGATCGTAAGTCAAGGACTATCTGCAGAGCGTAACAGTTCCAATCTTCCAGCATAGCATGTCTGAAATCCCACAACACATTATTCAAAAGCTGATAGATAATGTCTAATGTTTTTGCATGCCAGGATTATAAGCAGGCACTTTTTTGCATAGTCTTATGTCACCCACCGATAAAGGCAGAGATTTTCTCTGTCTGAAATGTTGAGCTGAGAATCTGTAAGCAACAGCTGCTCAAGTTCTTAGCCTGGTGGAGCCCATTGGCTCGGCATGTGTGGCACACCCAGAAATGATGAGAAAAGCTGTCGGTTTTTCTTTTTACGGGCGCAAGGCAGGCTGGTCTTGTAAGAATCTCTTGTGTGCTCAGATGCTAAATAAACTATTGATCTTAATGCGTCAGTTTACCCACAAACTTTGGCCTTGTCTGCGGTACAATCTCTTATTTAAACCTTTAGAGGAAGTCCTTGACCTACGACTACAGCTGAGCCCAAAATTGATATTGCTAAGTGAGAAATGTATGAACTTTCTTACCACAGTCCTTAAGTGGATCATTACAGTTGCTAAGATAGTAATCTGGTTATTAAGTGAATCTGGCTTCCCCAATGACTTTGCTTGTCCAAAGGTCACAAAAGGGGATCACGTGACCTAAGTCCCGTATGACAGGCATCTCCTCTCTTCCTTTAAAGGCTCAAAGGACTATCAGCTGGTCACCTGGTCTCGAGATCAGACCCTTCGGATGTGGCGAGTGGATTGTCAGCTACAGCGGGTAAGCAGGTCCTAAGCATTCGGAAGGTTGCAAAAAGGGATTACATGACCGCAACCGTCATAAATATGAATCGGCTGCCAAGCGTCTGAATTTTGATCCTATGACCATATGGGGATGCTGCAAGCTTCTAAGCGTGAAAAATGCTCACGCTTTTCAGTGATGTTGTAACTTTGAACGGTCATTAAACCAACTGTTGTAAGTTGAGGACTACCAGTATAGGGCCCTAAGCCACAGGATCTGTCCTTCCTTCCTGGAACCTGAGCTGGCTCATGCTGTTTGCCCCTCCCTTGTTCCCGTACATTGTGTTGGCTAACCTTCGGCTTGGCTCGGCTGCATTCCGCTACCTTTGCTGCCTCTTGTTCCAGTTATGCTCCAGTGAACTCCTGGAGGGGGTGGAGGAGCTGATGGATGGGATTTCCCTTCTGCCAGAGGCGGACAAGGCCCTGCCGGCCCAAGACACGGAGCCCCCGCAGAACTTCACCCACGGGCAGGAGGAAAGTGAGTCTCTTGGGTGGGGGGGATGATCAATTCACTTTAGGGAGGGGGTGTGAAATCTTTGGATTCTACATGGATTTCACGTTTTAAAAAAGAGGGACCTTGTTCGCACCATCACTGCCTAAGACTAAAAACTCTTCTGTCTCTCTCTCTGACAGTTTTCAAAGAAGATTCCCAGAAAAGCTTCCTGGTGGGAAAGAAGCTAGACCAGCTGGGGCTGCCTCAGACCTTACAACAGGAGTTCTCGCTGATCAACGTGCAAATCCGCAACGTAAATATGGAGGTGAGAAGACAACTTTTATCTGGTTACTGGATAGAACACAAGATTTCGGAATTGCCTATTAATTCCTGAAGATCGCTCGCCTTTTCCCTTGTCTTTCCCGTTTTTCTTTCATTGTGGCTGTCCGTTCGTAGGCTGAGGGATAGGTGCTGTCCATGGTACTCTCTGAGCTTGGTGTTTTTCCTTGCAGACGTTTCATTACCCAGCTAGGGAACAAGTTCAGTGCTTGAAGAGAGTGGGGTTTGCTTTCTGTTTATATACAACTGACTTGTCCTGTCAGAGTCCGTGGGAGTGTTTTGGGTGGTTCCTTGATCAGACTGTTGTTTACTGTTGGATTGTCTGAGTTGGTAGTTCCTTCACTGGGGTTTATGGTTTACTTCTTGATTGCTGGTCTAATGTTAACCTTGGTGTTAATCTCCAGGATAAAGAGAGGGCAAAGCCCACTCCCTTCTAGCACTGAAGATGCTGCCACGTTGGGTAATGAAAAGTCTTCCAAAAAACCACCAAGCTGTGAGAACACCAAGGAATCCACAGTTCAACCCTGAGCAATAAATGCTCTCTTTTATTGAGACGTAGGTGCTTGCACTGGGCATGCGTCTGGAGGACACTTCTGAGTCCTTGGGCTGTAGATGTCTTCTGCAGGGGGGTTCTGTAGTAGAAAGCAGTAGGGCAAAGCAAGGCTTGGCAGCACCCTTTGGGTGGGCACAGGGCAGCAGGAGACCCAGACTTGCCATAGGTGCCCCCTAAGACTTCCCTGGATTTTCCTTGACCAAAACCTGGATCGACCCAAACAGTTTGGGTTGCAGTTCCGCTAATCCAGGGCCTGTCCAGAATACAGGTGGTCCTCCACTTACGACCACAATTGAGCCCAAAATTTCTGTAGTTAAGTAAGACATTTGTAACGTGAATCTTGCCTCATTTTATGACCTCCTTGCCACCAACTTGGAGTTTTGATCTCAGCCACATCTTGCCCTTTTGAACTGTTTTTGGTGGTCACTGTGCTTCCTTTATGGCTGCTAAAAACGGTCCCCCCAAACGGCTCAAGGCATCGCGCCCAAATATATTTTTCTTTCTCAAAGGCATCCACACGTATCTGACTTCATCCTTCAGGATAACATCTGGCCTCCTTAACTTCGTATGGGACCGGTTTGCATTGCCAGGGGCACCTTTGGCAGTGTGGAGCCCAAGTTAGGCTGTCCTAACCTTTCTTTCCTGCTTGGCTCTGGCAGATGGATGCCGTCAATCGGAGCTGCACCGTCTCAGTGCACTGCAGCAACCACAGGGTGAAGATGTTGGTGATGTTCCCTGCCCAGTATCCTAACAACGCTGCCCCCTCTTTCCAGTTTGTCAACCAGACCACGATCCCTTCCACCATGAAGGCCAAGTTGTTGAAGGTAGGTCTGTGCCTAAACGGCTTTCCCGAGAGAAGGTTGTTAGCAGGAGCTGGAGAGGGGGAGGCATATGCCAGGGGCAAAGGTCTCATTATCAGCAAGCATCTGTTTTGTCTGCCTCCTGCATTTTATGTCCCTCCCCCAGGCCACATCTGGCTCTTTGGTTGTCCGTGTCCAGCCCGCATGGATTTCTTTCGTTTTGAAGATGATTGCTATTTTTGTGGGGGTGTGTGTGCACGCACGCGTGCATCTTCACACACCTGTTGGTTTGGCCTTTTGCCTATCTATCTATCTATCTATCTATCTATCTATCTATCTATCTATCTATCTATCTATCTTGTAGTGAATGACTCTGAACAACTCCACAACAGTCCCAGTTTCTCATCTGCCTCCATCTCCCTCTCCCTCCCTATCTATCATCTATCTGTCTGTCTGTCTGTCTGTCTATCTAGTTTGTATGCCATTCATTTTGTAGTAAACGACTCTGGATGACTTCCACCATTAAAACATTAAAATCCTAACAAATATCTTTAAAAGGATAAAAATAGAAATCCCAATCAAAATAAAATATAGTTAAAATTTGGGGAGGGAGGGAACAGGATGTGTGTGTGGGGGGGGAGGTGGGATTGCCCCTTTATTCAACAACATTCCCCACTGTGGTTCTCCCCTGTTAGGGCCCCAGGCCATCCAGCAGAGCCAGGTTTGCAGGCTTCTGTGCAAGGATAGAAGGATGGGAGCCAGTCTCATCTCGGGGCCAGGTGTTCCAAAGGGAAGGAGCCACAGCAGAGAAGGTCCTTCTCCTGAACCCACCCACCGAAATTCCTTGACCGATGGGGCCTGCAGCGTGTGGCCTCCTCATGTGGCCCTTTGGGGAAATTAATTGCCCACCCCTGACAGTTCTACAGCTTTGAATTGTGGCGTGTAGGCTCAGAAAACAACTCAACCCACATCTGCATCTCTTTCAGATCTTGAAGGACACTTCCATGCAGAAAGTGAAACGCAATCAGTGCTGCCTGGAGCCATGCCTACGCCAGCTGGTCTCCTGCCTGGAGGCTGTTGTGGTAGGAAATGTGTGTCCATTTTGCCCCCAAATGTGGTCTGCCTGTATCAATCCCATTGCCATCCCTGGTAGGGAAATTTAACTCTGGCCCTGGAAAAATGGAAGGAGTCCTTGTGGTTCTTAAAAGGTCAGAGGAGGTTCTGGACAGGCTTTCCAGGTAGGGTAGTCCTCAATTTATGACTGGCTGCTTCAAGCAGGGGCATGCAATCTTGGCAACTTTAAGACCTCAACATCTGTGGACTCCAACTCCCAGAATTCCCCACCCTCCAAAAGTTACTTAGGAGCCAATGTCATAACTACATGCGCGCTTGTGCATACACACACTGCAGTCTTGTGATTGTAGCTCCCCTTTATGGCTGATTGTAGCATCCCACGGGCATGTGATCATAACTTTTTACTTTTTTGCTCATTTCTGGCATTTCTGGTTTCTGACAAAAACCGCCCACTGGCTAAAACGGGTTGGCTTTCATGATTGCCCCACTCGCTTAACAACCACCACATAAAATATAAAACCAGGTCCTGTCATATGAGTCAGCCAGCCAGCTTTCACGCCTAAGGAGGGACTAGAACTCACAGTCTCCTGATGCCTAGGTCAAACTGGCTGTCAGGTGTTGTGTTCTGGATTGTGGAGGTGCAGAGATGGGATTAGGGAGGCGTACACAACCCACATGCTGCCCATTCCTGGTTTGATGTCCAGGGAGGTCTTTGTGAGAAGCGGTTGCTGTGAAGTGGGCGAAAAGTCCCCCAAGGGTCTTCATTCCATGTCTTTTCAGAACCAGGAGGACACCTCCTCCAGCGACCCCTATGCGCTCCCAAATTCCGTAACGCCGCCTTTGCCAACCTTTCCGAGGGTCTCCAACGCCTATGGCTCCTACCAGGATTCCAATATTCCATTTCCACGAACCTCTGGAGCGAGGTTCTGTGGGGCAGGTGAGTTGAACCTGAACCCTAGGAGGATGGGAAAGCGGAGGATGGTGGCCTGTTTCCTCTGGGCCGTCAGAAAGAGGGACTGTCCGTTGCTAGTTTGCTACAGCTTCTGTACAGCCAGCAATCGCTCTAATGCTACAAGTTCAGGAATCCAGAAACTTCTTCCACAAAATACAGGCATTCCTGAGCTTAGGCTTATATACCACTTCATGGTGCTTTATAGCCCTCTCTGAACGGTTTACCAAGTCAGCATCTTGCTCCCAACAATCTGGGTCTTCATTTTACCCACTTCAGAAGACTAAGTCAATTTTGAGCTGGTCAGGATCGAACTGCTGATAGCCGGCAGAATTAGTCTGCCACACTGCATTCTAACCATTGCACCACCACGGCTCCTGGTAACAACTCTGGAATTCCCAGCTCACACCGACCTGCTCCAACTCTGCTTGTGCTTGGAGATACTGTACGACCAGGGGGTTACACCTTCTTCTAAAGGCAGTCCTCAACTTACGGTTGAATGTAGCAGTTGTTTGAAGTTACAGTGGAAAACCCCCCCCCCAAAAGAAAGGAATTATGACCTGGTTTCAACTTCCAGCATTCCTTCCCTCATGGTCACATGATCACAATCGGGACATTCAGCCATTGGCCTAAATTTGCAGAAATTTGCAGTGTCCTACAATAAGATGACTTTGATTTATGATGGCTTTGCTGGAAACTGATATTTCCTTCCAGTTCCGGTGAAAACCAGCACATAGCAAACTATGGGTGTGTTGCATTGGTTTAACAAAAAACATCATCAGCTTAGACCCAACCTACTTTACAGTGGTCGTGACTTACGACTGGAATTGCCCAGCACAGTTACTGTTCTAAATCGAGAACTACCTGTACGGTTGATGAGCAAACCTGGTTCCTTTAAAATAATAAATGAATCATAGATTCTGAACATCCCAAAATTTGCACAGGGAGGCCCAACAATGGCTGTTGGGCCTCTCTTTCCATCCGAGGGCAGCTTCTCAGGGTAGGTTTCTCTCGATTGTTTCAGGGTACCTGGTCTACTTCACCAGGCCAATGACGATGCACCGCACGGTCTCGCCTACCGAACCAACCCCGCGGTAAGTGCCAAGCCTTGGCAAACAGTGGCCTCCCCAGACCTTGCCAGCTGCAAGAAGGCAGAACTGACTTCAGTGAAGGAGTCCGGATGCATCTTTTCGGATTAAGCAATTTCAGTAAAAGGCATAAGCTTTAAGAAACCTGAGGTTTCTGCATGGTCAGGATGCTCCAGCTCTTTGCTGCAAAGAAGGGGCATCTGGCTGGAGAACGACCCAACGTCTTCCCCTCTGTTTCAGATCCTTGTCTGCCCTCTCGGCCTACCACAGCGGCCTCATCACGCCCATGAAGATCCGCACAGAGAGCCCTGGCAACCTGCGGTTGTACGGCGGGAGTCCCACGCGTAGTGAAAAGGAGCAGGTCTCCATCAGTTCCTTCTACTACAAGGAGAGAGTAAGCCCACAGCTGATGACACGTGTCTCCCAACACTCTGGCTGGTTTAGCGACGCCTGCTGGAGTCACTACTCTGTTAGCAGGTCCCAAAGGGCGACTTCCTTAGTTTTTTTTTTTAATATTTTGCTTTTTTTAATATTTTGCCTTAGTATAGCAGCTGCTGTTGTTTGGTTAACTGGGGCAGAGTCTGGAGAGATTCCCCCACTCTCAAAGCTCTTCTGCCCTTGAAGATATTCCATTTGGGCTGCTCTCCACCCTCCCCATCCCTGACAGAGGTCTCTCCTCTTGCAGAAGTCCAGGAGATGGAAGAGCAAACGTGAGGGGACCGAGGTCAGCAGCCGGCCTATCAAAGCAGCTGGCAAAGTCATCATTCAGGACATCTCCTGCCTGCTCCCCGTCCATAAATCATTAGGGGAGATGTATACGTGAGTACCTGTGCAATTTGCCTAGCACCACGATGGCCCAGGGGTGAGAATGCAGCATTGCAGGCTGACTTACTGTCCTCTGCCAGTAGTTCGATCCTGACTGGCTCAAGGCTGACTCAGCCTTCCATCCTTCCGAGGTCGATAAAATGAGGACCCAGATTGTTCGGGGCGATAGACTGACCGGTTAGAGAGAGCTGTAAAGCGGCATATAAGCCTAAGTGCTAGGGCTGTTGCCACCTTTGGAGGGAGGCCGGCACAGCCACCTCACCCTAGTGGGAAGAGGAGGGTGATCACAGAGGACCCGTCTTCTGAAATTTAGGGGTGCAAAGAATTTATCTATCTGAGGACAAAGCAGAAGATTGACTTCTTACAGCTCCCCACAGCCCCCAGAAAGGGAAGGCCCAGGGAAGAACAGAGCACTACAGAGTTCCCCAGAACGCTCCCTTTTTGGATTGGCACATCTTGCTCATCCTTAACTGAAATCCTCTCCCCTTTTCAGTTTGTTACAAATTTTCAAGAAATGGCTTGCCCGGCGGTTCCTGGTGTTACTGGTAGGGTGTACACATGATGTAAGCCGTGAGGTACCTTGCATTAAACCAGAATTGGCTGGACTCGCTCAAAACAGCAAGTCCGAAAAGGCTATTTACAAACCGTATTGACAGGTTTCACACAGCCTTGTTAAGCCCTAAATATTTAGTTGTGTAAATCCAACTAACGTGCTCTATTATGCAATGTGGAATGGACAAGAGCTGGAGGGAGACACCCAGGCAGGCAGGGAGGGAAGAAGTCTCAAGCTGAGAAATAGCCTTGAGACCTTGCCCAGCTGGAAGAGGTCCAGAACAGATCTTCCCTCCCTGTTGCTTGGAACCTCATGCAATTGTTCCCAAGAGAAGGCTGCCAAACGGGGGAGATGCCATATAATAGGCAGAATATAATCAGGTCATTAGCTTGAACTCTACAGATGTGGATCTAGTTGTTTGCACATGTCAGCACCTTGCTTAATGCAAGCACTCCTCTAACCTGGTTTTCTTTTTCGGTAGACTAGGTGCTGGGAAATTAAGCTTTTCCACCTGGCAGCTGGGGGTTTTGCAGAGGAAAACAACTGTGCATCCTTCAGCCACCCCTCTTCTCTTTCAGACTAAATGTGGTGGACATTCAGGAGACCTGCCAGAAGAACGCAGCCTCAGCCTTGACTGTGGGACGCCGAGACCTCTTGCAGGTGCTGCTCCTTCTCCATCACTCTACAGCCAGAGTCCCCAAGCCGTGGCCCAGTACCAGGCTGCAGCCCATTCGGAACTGGGTCACACAAGAGGCAGGCGAGCGCACGAAGCTCCATTTTCAGGAGTGGCGGGGACTTGCCCGTGTGTGAAGCTCCACAAATGGAATTTCAAGCATGTGTGCAAGTCCCCACCGCTCACAAAAACGGAGCTGCAAGTGCACGCACCTGCCACTCACACAAAACCATTTCCTCTCCCCCGCCAGTCCACAAAGCCAGAAAGGTTGGGGGCCACAGCTCTACAGGACTGTCTGGAGACCATCTTGAAATGGGGGGAGGGGTGTCCCCGAAACAGGAGACCATGGTTTAAAAGAAAAACCCCGTCTCCCTCCTGCCTCCCACAGAGAGCCTTCAGCCCCTGTGTTTTTTTTTTTTGTTTGTTTTTGCTCTTCTGAGTGTCCCCTGCCCGCCCACCCCAGCTTCCTTTTGCAAGGGTCTCGTCTGATTCAGGGGTTTGAGGATACAGATGGATAGAACATTTACTTCCTTTCTTTTTTGCTGTGGTTTTTAAGTAAAACGCTGCAGTTGTTAAGGGAATCATGCAGTCATTAAGTGAATCCAGCTCCCCCCATTGACTGCATATTGGAAGCCAGCTGGGAAGGTCACAAGTGGTGATCACAGGACCTCAGGAGGGTACAGTGGCAAATACCTGTTGATTGCCAATCACCCTAGCTTTGATTGCGTGGCTGGCAATGCTGCCACGTTGCAAGTGTGAGGACTGGTTGTAACTTTGAACAGTTGTGAGAATGAATGGTTTGTGTAACCCAACCCACAAACAACCAAGGCTGGGAGGCTTGGGAGAACATCCTGGTCTCCAGGAGCTTCCTGAACGTTATTTGAGATGGAGCCCTCTGGATGGTGCAGGATTATCTCCCAAAAGAGAGTGATCGAGGTGCCCTATTTGTCTCTGGAAAGCAATCGAGAGCTTGCACAGCATCGTGGTCATTTTTATGCTGGTTTTACTTTGAGGGAAATTCTAATTAATTAGATGGATTGTGGTCTGGCTGGTGAATCGTTCTATGCCGTGAGCCACCTGAGGTTTTACCTCTAACAGCATCTCTCTGATCCGGCCTTCTCTTCCAGGTTTGGTCCCTGGCCACGGTGGCGACTGATCTCTGCCTGGATCCCAACGCTGACCCAGACTTGGAGACCCCCTGGGCCCAGCACCCTTTCGGCCGCCAGCTCCTGGAGTCTCTGTAAGGAGGCCGAGAGGCGGGAACCTTGCAGTGCGGCCCAGCTGCTGCCCTGCTCTCCTCTTGTGGGGATCTGCGTGGTGTTGGGTTCTGGAGTCACTTCCTGGGAAGCTGGGTCAGCACTAACCCAGGGAAAGGAAAAAGGGGAAAGTCCATTTTGCTCTGGCACTCCGAGGTTGTGTAACTGTACAGGTAGTCCTCGACTTACAACAGTCCCTTTAGTGACCGTTTGAAGATACAGTGGCACTGAAAAAAGTGACCGATGACCGTTGTTCACATTTACAACCGTTGCAGCATCCCTGTGGTCACATGATCAAAATTCGGACACTGGGCAACTCTCATATTTATGACCGTTGCAGTGTCCCGGGATCATGTGATCCCCTTTTGCGACCTTCTGACAAGCAATTCAATGGAGAAACCAGATTTATTTAATAACCATGTCACTAAATTAACAACTGCAGTGATTCACTTGATAACTGTGGCAAGAAAGGTCGTAAAATGGGGCAAAATTCACTTAACCACTATCTTGCTTGGCAACGTAAATTTTGGGCTCAGTTGTGGCTGTAAGTCGAGGACTATTTATATTAACCTACTTGGAAATGCCAAGCTGTAGCCTTTTATTAATACGAAACACTATTGCGATTCTTTACAGCGGGGGTTTCCCAACTTTTTCAGGCTGTGGAATATGTTAATACAGGTAGTCCTTGACTTGCAACAGTTCATTTACTGACCGTTCGAAATTGCAACGGCACTGAAAAAAGTGATGGGTGACCATTTGTCACACTTAATGTTCAGCGAAACATCCCCATAGTCAGGTGATCAGGCTTCAGATGCTTGGCAATTGACTCATATTTAGGATGGTGTCCTGGTGTCTCCTGATCACCTTTTGTGATCCTCTGACAAGCAAAGCCAACAGAAGCCAGATCACCTTAACCACCTTGTTATAAGAAGAATAGAATAGAACTGGAAGGGACCTTGGAGGTCTTCTAGTCCAGTCCCCTGCTCAACAACTGCAGCCGTTCACTTAACAATGGTGGGAAGAAAGTTCATAAAATGGGGCAAAACTCACTTGCTTAATAACAGAAATGTTGAGCTCAATTGTGGCCATAAATCAAGGACTACCTGTATATGTATGTCCTAGATCACGGGTAGGCCACCTTGGCTCTTTGATGACTCGTGGACTTCAACTCCCAGAACTCCTGAGCCAGCCATGCTGAGGGGAAAGGGAGAGGTTTCCAAGCTGAGCCAGGCTGGCTCAGGAATTCTGGGAGTTGAAGCCCACCAGTCATAAAAGAGCCATGGTTGCCTACCCCTGTCCTAGATGAAGAGGCAGGCCTGTCATGAGAGAAGATTGGCTGTGCTGAAGTGAACTTTGTTTTAGTCTCTCAAAGAAGCCCTAAAAATACGTATCCCAGCCCCTCTGCATGAAACACGGCTTCATCTAAACTCTCCTCTAGAGCCTGACTGATGGGCAAGCAGTAAAACTGGGCCTTTTTCTTCATGCTTTGACCTGTGTCCTCCCAGGCTCTTTAACCCGTCCTGTTGCACCTCAGGCGTACCTTGCCGTACTTAGAAAACACTTCAGCTTTGGTCCATTTTGTGGACCAAACTGTAGAGCAAAACTGCTACTCGGCATAGAAATTTAGCTTCTTGGAACTCTTAGTGTTCCAAGCTTTTAAAAATGGTGAGAAATTTCCAAGTGGGATAATAATGGACAAGAATTCCAATTATTTTAGTTCTAATGGTAACTAGTTATAACAGGAGAAGACTATTTCCTTTCTTCCCCACAATATTGTACCCTTAAACCAAGAGGCCACACTTAGATTCACTGAGAAATGTGGTAATAGAAGCCATTAGCAGTGTTATGTTTACATGTTTATTGTTTTCTGTTTTATGGAAGTTGCCCAGCGTAGCCCCACAGCAAGATGGGTGGCAAATAAATGAGAAAGGTGGGTGGGTGGGTGGATGGATGGACGGATGGAAGGACAATGGGTAGATAAGGAGAGTTTTAGATATCAAGCCTTCCTGTTCTTAGGAGCAATCAAGTTAGATCCATCTTCCTTCCTGCCCCGAATATGAGCTGAAATATGGTAATATAGAAAGCTGCTGTGTGAGTGCACGCAACATTCTTGCCCACTCTTACGGTTAGCAGTTGTGTTTACTTTTGTCATCAGCAGATCAGAAAGGTCAACCTCTCTGTCCCAGATTTTAACCTTTAACTTAGCTGAGGCCTGCTTTCTTTCTTCTTTCCCTCTGCAGCTTGGCCCACTATTGCCAGCGCCATGACGTGCAGACCTTGGCTATGCTGTGCAGCGTCTTTGAGACTCAATCCAGACCTCAGGGACCCCCAAACCTCACAGGCCTGGCTCCTCAGCACCCCTCCAGCCACAGTCGATATGTACGGACTGATTTGCATTCTTGCTCTTTTCCCTCCGGCCCAGAGCATTTGGGGCCTTTGGGGAGACATTCTGACGTGATTCCCTCTTGTTTTGCCCTCAACAGCCCAGCTTTACCTCCTCTGGCTCTTGTTCCAGCATGTCAGACCCCGGGCTGAGCACCAGCAGCTGGAACATAGGTAGGCACACACATCTGCCACCTTGGAAGTATCCTGGAGGGCTTCAGCTTTCTGATTTTTGGCATCACAAAGATTCACAACCCTTGTGTAGGCTTTCACGAGAGGTGCTTTGAGTACCTCTGTTTTCTAACTAGGTTTGGCATTGTTGAAAAGGAGAGATGGCATTCTCTTAAAGGCGTTCCAGATTAAATTAGCTAAAGGATTCATTAGTGCCACTAGCAATTAATTGATTAGGGACATCTGTCCACATTTAAAGTACAAAGATGTACTTCATGCCACTTAGTAGGTAACCATTCCTGGAAGCAAGAAAGACTCTTCAGAAGAAATGCTTGCTGCCATCAAGTAATACTTTTTAAAAAACAATCTGCTGAGTTAGGAAAAGGTCAGGATCACCCGCTGTCTGCCTAAAATGCACTCCAGAATTGCTTAGAAACATTTTCTTAGAAACAACTCCACCTGGGATGGTATAGGGTCTCCTGTTTGAGCAGCGGCTTGGCCTTGAAGACCTCCACGGTCTTTTCCAGCCCTGGGATTCTATTTTTCTGTTTTCATAAAAAACACGTCCTATTTTAAGGCTGAGCCCTTTATTTGGGCTAAGTGCTAAAAGGGCAGGATCATGACTTTTGGCCCCGATGTGTTTGCTGCGGGGCTGGGAGGAGGATCTTCTGGCTGGTACCCCCCTTACTAAGACCAGCTAATCAGCTTTTGGCTTTTGTAGCCAGCAAAGAGGCGGAACACACGCTAGGCTGGGCCGAATCTTCGCCTGACGACTTTCGCCTTGGGAACTTGGTGTATGCTGATCCCCGGGACCGAGAGAGAGACCAGCATGACAGGAACAAAAGGTGGGCGGGGCCAGTCACCATCTACTTCCTGACTGGGTGGAGTCAAAGGGCCAAGGCCCCCACCCTTTGGGATGTTGTAAAGAGTTATAGTTCCAAACATCATGATTTGAGGACTCTCCACGCTGGGGTGGGCAACTAGGGCAAGCTTATGACCTATGGACTTCAACTCCCAGAATTCCTGAGCCAGCCGTCATAAATGTGAGTCAGTTGCCAGGCATGTGAATTTTGATCTGGGGGATGCTGCAAAAGCGTAACTATATAAAGTTTGTAACTCTGAAAAATGGCCATAGGTTTTTTTTTTCAGTACCATTTAACTTTGAACAGTCACTAAATGAACTGTTATAAGTCGAGGACTACCTGCATCAGCCTGCTCACAGAAAAGAAAACTGCTAAGGCTCCTTCACTCGTGCAGAAGGACAGAAACCGGGCAAACAGAGACCTGGCCGGCAAGAGTAGCCACAGAAACCCCGTCAGGGACCTGAAGGCCCGTTTGTGGATCTCTTTCACCAGGCTCCTGGATCCGGCCAACACGCAGCAGTTTGACGACTTTAAAAAGTGCTACGGAGAAATCCTGTATCGCTGGGGCCTGCGAGAGAAACGTGCCGAAGTCCTCAAGTTTGTTTCCTGCCCCCCCGATCCCCATAAGGGAATTGGTGAGTTGAAGCCTCCGGGTCTCCGCTAAGGTCCTCTGGGTGCTCCATTCGGAAAGCCAGAATTCAGATTACCCAGCCCAGAGGCATCTGTACTTGCCAGGCTCGTGCAGTGGGATATATTTTGAAGTCTGGCCTTTGTTCAGCAGAAACAAAGAGCAGTGGGATCCTGCGTAGGGCTCCTCTGGGGCTTTTAATTAACCAGGTTTTATTAAATAAACCATATTGGCCTGACTCGGCCCAGAGCAAAGGGGCAGAAAGAGAAGCAGGGGCTGGAGGACAAACTCCAGCAAGTGGCTAGATTCTGCGCAGCAGCACTGAGGAAACAGTCGATTAGCCCGTCAGAGCTATTTTACAGAATTAATGCCTCAAATCCTCTTGCACTGTCACTCTCTGGCATTTTAGTCTCTAAGGACTACGGGCCGCCCAGTTTAAGAATAGAATAGAAGAGAGCTGGAAGGGACTCCCATCACTGGCCTTATCCCATTGTTTTACTTGGGCTTAATTGCGGCACCCCCTCCAATCACCTCTCTCTTCTGTTGCTCCCCTGGCAGAGTTTGGCGTCTTCTGCAGCTACTGCCGAAGCGAAGTGCGCGGCATTCAGTGCGCCATCTGCAAAGGCTTTGCCTTCCAGTGTGCCATCTGCCATGTGGCCGTGCGGGGCTCTTCCAACTTCTGTCTGACCTGTGGCCACGGAGGGCACACCAGCCACATGATGGAATGGTTCCGCACCCAGGAAGTCTGTCCCACGGGCTGTGGCTGCCACTGCTTGCTGGAGAGCACTTTCTGACAGTCCACCTTCAGGGGCTGACTCGGATCCCTCCCAGGCCAGGTGATCTCCAGCTGACCAGCAAGGAAGGTCCCAGGTGGCTTCCGACATGGATGGCCAGGGCACTCTTGACAGAAGTGAGGTGCGGTGGCTGGCGGTTCCCTAACTTTTGGGGAAGGTTCTGTGCTAGCAGAGCGCAAGAGGAGAGACAACGGAAGCTGAAGAACAGCTTGGTGTGCTGAAAGGTTCACAACAGAGGGATGGAGTCTTCCCCCCAAAATATGCACTGGGAAGACCTTCTGCTCAGTTACATTACTGTTGCTTCTTTGGACAAACCTCTGAGATCTTGATACTTATATGAAGAGATCGAACAAATAATATTTACCAAGACACAGAAAAGTCTTCTGTCTTTGCAGTGTAGGTTGCTTGAATGAATTGGCATGTCCTTTGGGGAAAAAGGGAGTCTCCCACTGCAGCATGGACACCGGGGGCATTGGGGAGCCTTACCTGTCTTGTGGCAGGTGTTGACTTTCCTCCTCATTTGCCACTGTAAAATTACCCTTTTTTCCCAAAGATGTTGAGCTGTAATTGCTTCATGGGAATGGACTCGTTTGACAAATGTGGGAGCAGATTCTTTTAAAAAGAGAAGGTCTTGGATTCTGAAACGGCAGGGCCAATATTTGGCTTTGGATTAACGGTTTCAAGACTGAGCTGTCTGTGTTTTGGAGGCTGAAATGCACTTGATCCTGGTGGAACCGGTGGGGGGAAGCCATACACCATATAAATCCTTCCTGGTACCAACAGGAGCCTGGGCTGAGCCCTCCTGCTCTGATCCTTCGGTGCCTGGACTTAGGTTTGCTGACCCTCTCTGAAGCATGGAGACTGTCACAATTTCCTTCAAGCCATGAAGCTGAGGAAGTGTATTTTTGTATATTCACTTAATAATTTTTTATAAAGGTTTTGTGTTCTGCAGCCTTTGAAGTTATTGGCAAATTTGGGGAAAGATTTAAAGTCCCCCCCTCCCTCCTTCCCCTCCCCTTCCGTTCCCTCCCTGCATATTAGCTGTCTTTTATTGCATATATTTATGATTTATGAAGGCCCATTAGTGCTCCTTTCAGCAAACTGGTCCACAGGGCTCTTTCGGTATAGTAAGAGATACAAAAAGAGGATAGGAATGGAGCAGTGGCTGATCCTCACCAATAGATGGCAGCAGTGAACTTGTGCCTGGAGTGGTGGAGTTGCAGTAAACTTTGCCTGGTTATCAAGAGATGCGCCTTACCTGCAGTAAGGAGTAAGGAGTGAGACTGATTTGAAATAAATCCTGGTTCCAGGGCCCCATCAGATAAATTGTAACTTGCATAGAATTTTGTAGGAAGCCCAGGAGGCAGCCTCTCGCAACCTGCCCGTTGCCAAGAGCTCGAATTTTGATCACCTGACCCTCAGGATACTGCAAAAGTAGTACGTATGAAAAACAGCCACAACTCACTTATTTCAGCGCCTTTGTAACTTTGAACGGTCACTAAAGGAAGGCTTGTAAACCGAGCACTACCTGATTATGAAGTGTGCAGAAAACAGCTCCACATTTTTTTAGGATTAATTTTTAAATTAAATTAATTAATTTTACTGGGGTGGGTGAATTCCTACTTGGATGCAGCAGGAAGCTGTCTGCGATTCAACAGTCTCCTAATGGAGCCTCCTTTGTGTGCATGTTTTATTTATTTGTTAAATTTGTCTGCTGCCCCATCTCACTCCCACGACTCCTTGACTTTCGTGGGCCGAAGTTGTGGAATTGATTCTTTGCTCAGGGCCCCCCAGAGAACAGCTTCCTTTCTTTTCTTTCTTGCAGACGAGCTTGGACACATGAAGAAAGGCCTCGCGATGCTCCAAACCTTCAGGGTCTTTACTTTGTAGTTGTTGGCTGCTTCCGTTGGTCCTCGACTTACGACTAAAATTGAGCCCAAAATTTAGGTTGCTAAGCGAGATGTTTGTTAAGTGAGTTTTGCCCCGTTTTACGACTCTTCTTGCCACATTTGTTAAGTGAATCACTGCAGCTGTTAAATTAGTAACGCTATGAACCCCAGTTGCCAAGTGTCCGAATTTTGATTAGGTGACCCTGGGGAGGCTGCAAAGGTCATAACTGAGAAAAACAGTCCTATGTCACTTTTTTCAGTGCCATTGTAACTTCAAACGATCACTAAATGAACTGTCGTAAGTCGAGGACTTCCTGCGTTTTGTTCATCGGTAGGCTGAAAACCACCCAAATCCCATTTTCAAAAAGGGATTTTTGTTTGGTTGTCCCTTTATTCTTTAACACGGCATTCTTGATGGTTGTCCAACGTTGCAGGCCTTTTCATGGAAGGGCAGCCAAAGGGAGGCAGCCTTTCCCATTGCCCAACCGGTCTTGGGAGTGGGTGGGTGGGAGACACAGCCATTGCCAAATGCAGCCTGCCTGCCTTGCCACCCAATGCTATGGTTAACACCTGGTTTCCTTTGTTCTCACCCTTGTCTGATGGGCAGCCTGACAGCCTTCAGGGCAGCAATAAGAGTTTCAAAATCTAAACTCTTGGAAGGATGAGAAAAAATGAACACGATTGTGATGACTGGATAGGACAGGATAGGTTATAGAAAGAAGGGAATTATCATAGAGGCAGAGATACATTTATAATTGTGCTTAAAATTCCTGTAAAGGAGATCAGAAGCCACTAATTACTTTTTTCTTTCTTTTCTATTTTTCTTTTTCCCTTTCTTGCATCTTTAGTTTTTTCTTTGGGTTTTTTTTTTTTTTTTTTTTGTTCCTTTTCCCGTTTTTTTACATTAGTTTGCATGGCTCAGCTTGGAAGCCTCTCCCTTTCCCCTCAGCATGGCTGGCTCAGGAATTCTGAGAGTTGTAGTCCACCAGTCATAAAAGAGCCAAGGTTCCCACCCCTGCCCTAGGCCATTCTCACTTTCAAGGTAAATTGCATCCTGCACTGTAACTGGGCCTGAAAACATCTCCTCAGACAGAAGTCCCCCCCCCCTCCAGTCTGGCTGGAGTCTGGTGTCAGAAGCATGGGATGAATTTCCCTCAGAGAGGGACTACAAGTCTCAGAATGATGGCTGAGCCTGGTTCTTATGGAAGGTGATCCTCTATGTCCAGCTGATTTCAGAGCACCTCAGCCCACCTTGGCTTCCTACTACAGCTGCGAAACTGTAGCCATCAGGCAGAGAAGGTCCCCTGCTCCGTTTTCATAAGAGAAAAGAGCTTTTCACGTTCTTTTCGAAGGAGAAGAGAGTTTTGGAGAAATTTCCCATGCATTTGGGATGAATTTTCATGGGAATCCGGTTTGAGAGTTCTGTGCTGATTCAGTGATGTAAATCAAGTGTGTGTGTGTGTGTGTGTGTGTGTGTGTTTAATATGCATCCTCCAAGAATCAGTAAATTCTCTTGTTTTCTTTAAATGCCCAAATAAGACATCAAATAAGCTCCAAGAGGCCTCCAGTTTAATAGCATGGCGAAGGTCGTCACAGAGAGTCATTGTTTTTTCTTCACAAATCTGGGTCTCTTTTGCAAGGCTTCTCAAACTAAGGGACGGGGTAAGTGCAGATAAGGCTCCCCCTCTGCCTATGAAAACCGGCCAAGTTTTTTCTTCTTTTGTTAAGTGGGACTCTCTTCTAAATTGCTCACAATATTCAGGGTGATTCTGGCCCACAGTTTGAAATCCCCGGGTTATTAGGCAGCAGTTATTTCATTTGCTTGCCTGCTTCCCCCACCACACACAATCTGTCAAACATTTCTTGGAATTTCTGAAAAATTTGCTGGAAAATTTACTAGCTTCAGCCCAGATAGGATCCCTTTAAGAAGTCCAGCGCACTTAAAGAATAGGAAAGGTCTCTTTCTCAGTCATTCCTGGGCTTTTAAGGGGTTTCCTAACTGTTAAAAAAATTGAAGGGGGGGGACATTCTCAGTCACCCTGTAAAATTTTGAAAAGAAGTGGAGCTCAATCCCAAACAGTGAAAACTAATCACGCTAGCCATATGGAATGGAGACCCCACTCCATTTCTGAATGCCTGCCAGAATTTCTTTAAATCTCTTGTTCTAAGACAGTGGTGGCGAACCTATGGCACGGGGGCCAGAGGCGGCACTCGGAGCCCTCTGTGGACACGCATGCCGTCGCCCCAGCCCCGCCACCCCCCATGGCCCCCTCCTCACCAGCAGCCCCCCCAGAGGAGAGTTGCCCCAGGCGCAGCCTGCGCAGAGCAACGCAACCAAGGACATGGCAGCCGGGCAATAGGGACAAGAGTCCGCCCTCACGCCCCATCGTGTACAGATGATGCGGCGGGGCATGGACAGGGTGTGGCCGCCATGACGCTGCTGGGCCGCCTGGGCAATCTGCTGTGGTGGGCCATGGAAGTAGTGGGTGGCCCTGCAGGCAGGAGAGGCGGGAGGCAGTTTTGGGGCACTCGGTCTCTAAAAGGTTCGCCATCACTGTTCTAAGACTTCCGCTGCCCAAATCTGATCCAATGCATTGGAGGGCACCTGGTTGGGGAAGGGCAGTGCTGGTGTTTAGGCCTTTTCCTGGTCTTCCCGGAAACAGGGAGGGGAAATGGAGCCAGAAAGGGGGAACCGGGACCATGTTCAGCTCTTCCTGGTGGGCCTCTTGGCTTCCTGGTGCTTCATCCAACGCCGGGAGGATCAGAAGTACGTCTCAGCTGGAAGCAGAAGAGGCACAGCTGGTTGGACGTTTGGGATTTCTGGGATTCTGTGGAAGAACTGCTTGAACAAAAGGGGAGAGGGGTGCCAAGATAATCAAGTCATCAGATAATCAGACAGTCTCTATGGGATAAGAAACCTGACAGGGCCCACTCTGGGCTGCAGGCCTTTCTCCATCCCAAACAGAAATCTGGTGTGCATCAAAATTACGAGAAGTGATAGTACTGCTTTTTAGTGCGCTGGTCAGGCCACATTTGAAATACTACATCCAGTTTCTGTCACCACAATACAAAAAAAAAAAAAAAAGATGTTGAAACTCTAGAAAGAGTGCAGAAAAGAGCAACAAACATGATTAGTGGTCTAGAGACTAAACAATACGATGAACGGTTGCAAGAACTGGGTATGTTGAATGAAGAGAAGGACTAGAAGTGACACGATAGTCTTCCAATATTTGAGGGGCTGCCACAGACAAGAGGGGGTTCGCCCTATTCTGCAAAGCAGTTGAGAGCAAGACAAGAAGTACTGGGTAGAAGCTTATTAAAGAGAGATCTGACCTAGAATTAAGGAGAAATTTCCTGACAGCAAGAAAAATTAATCAGTGGAAAGGCTTTTCCTTCGGAAGCTGTGAGAGCTCCGTCCCTGGAGATTTTTAAGAAGAGATTAGACAGCCTTTTGTCAAGAATGTTATAGGGTCTCCAAGGTCCCTTCCAACTCTGATGTTCTGTATTCCGTATAAGATGAAGTCAGATTAGCATTCTGATATTTACCAAATCAGTAGGCTATAAGAACTGATGAAGCATCCACTAAAATACGGCGAATCAGTCAGAAGAATCAGTTCTAACCAAGCAATGCCAGCAAATTTGGAGAACAACATGGCAGCCAACGTTGGAAGAGGAAAGCCTACATTCCAGTAGTAAAAAAGGAGACTTAACAGAGTGTGCAGACTATACCATACAATATTCTAATTTCATACGGTAACAAAAATAATGCTTAAGATCACACAGTGCAGACTAGAGCCCCATATGGAAAAAGATACGTCAGATGTTCAAGCTGGCTTCAGAAAAGGTTGAGGAACACGACGTTATTTGACAATTGAGAAAGCCAAAGGCTACCAAGAAGAACATGTGCTTCATTGATTTTAGGTATATCTTTGACTGTGTCAGTGATATCAATCGTAGAGTTGACAGTGTGGAAAGAAAAATGGGAATTCCAGACCATTGTATTGTCCTCGTGAAAAATTTACGTATATCAGAAACCCCAATAGGGACAGAACATGCTGAAAC